TCGCATCGCAAAAATCTACGATGCTCTCACAATGCATCGCAAGAATTTGCAAATTGCACCGCAGCGCGCATTCCTGCGATGATAATCTTCTTTGTGTTTTTTTCCTATAAATTCTTATCAATAATACCCGAACCGTGACAGTGAGAAGCCTTGCCGCACGAAATTGCATTACAGCAATTCGCCTCGCAGTTTTCTGCGTTGAGAATTTGCATCGCGCCGATTCGCAATTGTGTGTTTCGACCCTTATTCCGCGAACTAGCGCACACAAATGCACTTCCGGACAGAATTTCCAGTATTAAATGGTCTCAGCTTAAACAATGTTTAATTGATCAAAGTCTATTTATTATGTAATTTTAAAAGTGGTATTGAAATCCTTGTTGAAAATTTGAATTTGTAATACCAGTTGATAAAAAGTTTTTATATTCTAGCCCTTTGAATGTCCGGGACAGTGTAACAAAAAAAAAAATTGAGACTCAATACTATATCTCACAAGCGTGAAATTGTTTAATACCGAGGCGAAAGGTAGCGAAATAATGACCGAAACGTCGCAATAACCTGTAAGCGTTCTATGCCCTATAGCGCTGTCATGTCCGTCATAGAAGGCATATACAAAATGTAAGGGTTTGTTTAGAGTACGAACAATTCAGGCGAATGCGTTTTATATGCGCTATAGTTAAGTGCGCGTCTGTAGGCAAGAAAGCATAGATGGAGTGCGAGAAGCGCGCCAACGACACGGGAACTGTAGGGCTAGCACGATAGGGCGCGACTTACGCGAGAGCGACATAAAGAGTGAGAACTCTATGCTATTATAGCAGTATCACGTGTGTAGCTCGCGAGCCTTTCGCAAATAGGCGCATTCGCCAGATTTAGACGCAAGCTCACTACGAAGTTAACAAATCACTAGCGCGATTCAGAATACAACTAACGCCATCCAGCGGTGCACCATGGAACTAAATGTTAATTGATGCAGGAGAAAGAAAATCTAATTATAATAATAGATACGCATGTCAAATGGGTATATGACTGTTACAGGATTGTCTTGGTTAATGGTTAGGAATACACAAAGAATTAATGACCCCCACATACAGCTGACCCACACACAAATGTAATGTGTTGCTTGGTGATAAGCGACACGCCTGTCCGAAGCAGTTGTGGTGCCACTCGAAGATGGCAGTACTTCCCTGGACAAGCTTTCATTAGGAGCTCTATTGCGACTAAATACCATTTATATTAACGCAAAGAATACTGATGGTTGCTTTCCTGTTCAGTAGCTTTGTTAATATTTAATTTTTTTTTGAAAAATAATTACACATTGTGTTCATAAAAAAAACTTTTAACAAGTATTTAATTACATAAGCCTATCCGAATGACTGTTATTATAAATTGAGAAAAAAACGACTCATTTTTGATCGTTAAAACTTTTATATTTTAAAATTAAAAGTTTGAATAAATCCAATATGAAGGGTATCCTTTGTCAAAAATTAACAAATTTTTCGTCAAATTCCCTAACACTCGCTAGTGTACTTGTAAAAGGCGAGAGCGAGATACGGACGCTTCCGCAGCATTTCATCCTAATTACGTTAGCGTTAAGACCTAGTTGATCTTTAATTAATTAATAACGGAGATTAAATTAGGCAAAGTATATGCACCGAAACTTCTAGAAAGTAGTATATATAGAGTGGTTAATACCCCTGAACTCCCGAAATTACTGTTATGTATTTTCTTCTATGTTATTGAGTTGTAACTAGCGGTTACTTTACTACGGTAGTGTATAATATGGGTGATTTCCGGGTTAGTTTTCTCTAATTTCGAAGACAATTCACGACATTGTCGTGAAACATTGATAGTATTTCATGTTACTTCACTCGAATATTAAATAATACTACATGATAATACTCTAGAATTTGTAAATAAACAAAAATTGCCACCGAAATTAGATAGGGGAAACTAACCTGAAAATTACCCACTTAGAAGAGAAGTTTTGTAATTATTAGGTTATTAGGATTTTGCGATTGCGGATTTAAATCGTGTATCGTCATTTTTTCTAACAAACCAACGTTTACGGCCCTTTCATAGGCCTCAAAGCATCTAGTATATAACCAAAAATAGAGACGAAATAAAAGTCTTCCATCCCTGGTAACTCAACAGGCAAACAGGCATTATATCACTTTTAAATATCAACTCTCCTTTTCGCTGAAATCACAAATTAGAAACCTGAAATAGTACAGCGCCAACAACTGACATGTGTGGACGTCTCCGCATATTCCAAAAATATTCTGTATTTATTGTAATAAAGACAATATCTCTAACAATGGGCTGTTCTATTCGGTGGTGTGCGAATAGACAGCAAAACATCTAATTGCAAAACAAACGGAATCACATTTCATCTGTAATTTAATGTGTAATTTTTGAATTTGAACAATTGACGACACCCGTCAATTGTTTCGAATCCGGGCTGGCCAATCGGAGCGCAGTTGTCACCATAATGATTTAGCAAAAGAGTTTTCAAACAAAGTAAATGACATTTCGTCTCTATTTCTGGTTATATACTCGATGTCTCATGACTACGGCTGACTAGGGTGCAATCGCCTCCTTATACAAGCAAATAAACACCCATTTTTCGTTTAAAACAATTTGGTGTAAATGCATATACAAATATGTTTTCTTAATGGAAAAGTATTGTCCACTGTATGTATATCATTTGAAATTTAGGTAAATATAACCTGTCTATTCCAATCTTTCTTGTCGCGTCGTTGCATGTTTTGAGTTTGTTATTCGTGTGGTTTTCTTGGTATTCGTGGTCTTTGTGGTTTTAATGTTTTTCGTTGTTTACGCGGTTTTCGTGGTTATTCCACGTTCATTATGTGTTTAACATAAATCATATCTTTAGTACACATGTTTATAAAATGTTATACGAATTTGCGTTGCAAATCTTTGCCCCAATAATGCTAATACATAACCAGTCCTGAGGCTGACCCAATTTCGGTCCAAATGAGGTCATTGCTACATTTATTACGAGGGTATTGTCTTTTAACTGACACGAAACGGGTGTCTGTCAGTTTTATAAGCACTTCACTCTTTATTGTAAATAACGTTTAAAGTATAAACACATGCAGTGATTTTCATTTGTATATGAATTAAAAAAAAGTTAATTGATATTCCGGGCCTAACGAAACAAATTAGTTTTTAGAGATTTCTAAAAACATTAAAATAAGGAAATATATTTAAATTCTTTCGTCTGTTTCAATATGGGCGCTTTGGAATCATTGACTTACAAATAAAACCACGAAAAAAATGTCCCAAGTCAACCTATTCGAAATTTAAATTGTTATGTCATCGCAGTATCGCCCTGTCAGTCGAACAAATGAAGACTAAAGCGGAGTTTGGCGCTCTGTATACGATTTTAGCGCCTTACAAGTGCGGACACTTTTTAGCGCGGACCCGACGTCCATATAATTGTAAGTCAATGTTTGGAATACAAAATTTGACATTTCGCTGTTTTACATTCTCAAACTCGTATCTTATAAAGAATTATTATCCAGGAGATGGCAAAACTTTCTATTTATTTTAAATTTCTTATCAAGGGTGTAAATTTGGATGCATTACTTTAAGAATACATAAAAGCTAGCGTGTAAATATGAAGGAAATGTGATGTGAAAATGAAATCAGCCTGTAAACTTTGTATATATACAATTAATTTTTTGCATTTCAGTAACTTTGTGCTTTAAGATACGAATTTGAGAAACTAAGGCCATGATTTACGACGTTTTACATTATAGTGTAACAAAAACTTTTTTTCAGTTATGAAACAGCTTTTGCGTACTGGCTGACAAAAATCCGTTACTGACCCGTTTAGCTGTTTCAGGTTGTCTCGACATTTGAAATAAATATTGTAGATGACATCGCATTACAATAGTGCTGTAACTCAAAATATGTAAAAAGCAAGATTATACCAGTGTTGAACGCTATATTTTAATCTCGCAATATAATCATCTTTAGAATATTGTGATAAACTATTAAAAGATATCTATGATGATTTATGGCTGAGCTGAAGAAATATATTTCTCACAGATGGAGCTACGGTAAAAAGGTCGTTAAAAACCAGAAAAACAAAGATCTGCGATAAGAAAAAAAATTTAAGATCCGCTAGTTCGTTTCGTGGCTTAGTTGGCATAGCGTCTGGCATGGTTTGCTGGAAGACGTTGGTTCGAATCCAGCCGGTTCGAAGGATTTTTTTCTAAGTGTTTGATCTTTGTATTAATAATTATAACAAACTAGTGGAGTAATTTCGCAAAAATAATTGAATATCATATACGAACGACGATTATGAACATTCAATAAACTTAAAAATTACAATTAAAAGATCTATGATTATATATATAAGAATTAAAATCTACTTAACTCAAAATGAGACAAACTTTTTGTGAGTTAGTTCTGGACAAAATAATCTTTACTCAAAAATATATATAATTATTGTTGACAAGTAGGAAATTATGAATATTAATACAAAGATCGAACAATTACATAAACCACGGAACGAACCAGCGGACCCCACGAATTTTTCTATGTGCTTGTTGTCGGATCTTTGTATCTGGTTTTTAAAAATAATTGAATACCATCTTGGTGAAAAATCCTGACATTCAATAAAACACTGAAGTAGGAAATTGTTTAAATTTTAACGTATACATAAATATGAATAATCTTTTACGGGAAGTAAGTATTCTTATATTGTATCATTTTTCATCGATTCTTTAAAAATACACTTTTTGAGTTAATACACTACTGTATTAAAAGTGCGATATCTATAAATGTTTATGTATTTACAAAGAGCAACTCTTAGAATATCTCACTCGTTCTTCTCAGGGCAAACCGCCTTACAAGTGAGTAGTAGAGTTTAATCAATATAATTTCAGATTTTTAAAGAAATAACGTTATATTCTAGTAATAAAATATAAACGTTACCCGTTTAACCCGATAATAAAATTTAACTATATACTTACTCGGCGTTGGTCTCGGGCGTGGGGAGATCACCGATGGTGGTCAGGGTGAGGGTGGACCAATAGAGCGAGCCGAGATATTTTCTCGTCAGGGTCGCGTAGTCCCCAGGTCTGTGAGGGTACACCCAGTCTCCCTGAAAGAAATATAACACATATAAGTAATCGAAGCCACAGTCAAAGTCAAAAATATATATACGAAAATAAATTAACACTTCAAAACGTCTCACGTCACATGTCGGGTCAAGCTTTTTTCTATATCTATGGGTTAAGCTACTGCTCGTTCACTACGCTGACTTCTCTGAGAAGAACGAGCAAGAAACTCTAGGAATTGCTCTTTTCAAATGAATTTAAATGCTATGGAATACACTTTGAATCAAATTTTTGTAGATTCTAGAGCTATGTCGTCTTTCCATACAGATTTATCTAACACGTAGTCTGCAATAGTTTGGACCATAGAGTACCATGAGTTTGGATTTAGCTCTAAGATTAGTATTATGGATATGTTCTTTCTTATAGAAATTATCTATATTTTTACGGACATATAAAATATTTGAGTAAATCTACTGTGATGCCACCGTCATGATACCAGTCTCCTTAAAGTTTTCTCTTAGAGAAACCCGAGGACTTAAACGGTACACAGAACGAATCGGTCGTTTTTGCAATATAAATATGGTTTGAATGTCTACCGCTTTGCCCCACATGAGAATCCTGTAGGACATTATACTATGGAAGTAACTAAAGTAAACTAGTCTAACAGTACTAATATCGGTAAGCTTACGTATTCTGCGGACTACGTATGCAGCGGAGCTTAATCTGCTGGCCAGGGAAGATATATGTGGGAACCATTGAAGTTTGCTATCTAACGTCACTCCCAAGAAGACTGCTTTATTAACAAGGTCTAACTTTTCTTCGTTTATTTCTATACTTGGACTAGTCAATTTTACGCTAGGAAATTAAAATTTAACACATTTTGTCTTCTTGGCATTACGCAATAAATTGTTAGCATTAAACCAATATACTACCTTAAAGAGGGTATCATTAATATGGTCATAGTTAACGTTATGTCTGTCTGTTTTGAAAATCAAGGATGTGTCGTCAGTAAACACTACTAATTCGCCGTGGTCCTTGACAAAGAATGGCAGATCATTAATATAAATAAGAAATAAGAAAGGTCCAAGTATTGAGCCTTGCGGAACACCCATTTTTACCCGAGAACCCAAAGAAATCACTCCATTTATGTCTACTTTCTGAATTCTATCGTTGAGATATGACGAGACAAGTTCCAACGCCTGGCCATTTACACCGTAATATTCCAACTTCCTAATACAATTTAATACTGTACAGAGTTTTTAGGTCTTCGTTATTGTTACACATAGGAAATGAAACTATATCTCTCGGATCTAAATAGCGTATATTTTTTTATTCAAACAAACCAACGTTTTGGTCCCTTTACAGGTCCCATCGATTTTCTCCGCGATTTTCGACTCCATTAACACTACGTCAACTTAATGTTTTGGTCCTTTTCTGTTTTAGTGTAAACAGCCTTTTCTATTTACTAATATTTTGCTACCCGAATTTTGTGAAAAAAAAACAAACAAAAAAAAAACAAAATAAAAACGGAGATAATAAAAAAAAAAATTGGCACCGTGTTGGCAGGAGGTCACGGCTGATTGAGATGGATCTACTTCATGCAGTCGATCTCGGCTGCATGAAGTCGGTTTCGACTGCATGAATTTAATGCGTGAAGTCGTTTTCCAAGATCTCGACCGCGTGAAGTTGATGCGTGTAGTCGTTATCCGAGACCTCGACTGCATGAATTTGATAACGATTTCACGCATTAACTGCATGCAGTCGAAACCGAATTCAAGCAGCTGAGATCCATTACATGCAGTTAACGCGTGAAGTCGTTATCAAGTTCATGCAGTCGTGGTCTCGGCATGCAGTCAATTTGTTAGCAGCCTAAACGCGGCCGCCAGTCGGTGTTGCCGCCAGTCGCGGCGACAGTCGGCGAATCGTAGTCCGGTCCAAAATTGTGATGTGGTTATATAAAATCTTTCACGTTCTGAATACAGTGCAATAGGACAAAAGTGGAAGTATTCAGAGCTACTGTTCCAGAAACGAAGCTATATATACACACACACAATCTCACGCCTTTGCATTGCCATTAGGGTAGGTAGATTATCGATTGTAACCTATCTCGCCTCACTTACATTTATCAGACGTTTCAAACACGCCCTCTTATTTTTTTCACTACGCACTCCAGCCTTTTTAAGAACAATGCCAATGCTGTTGAGAATTGAGCAATGCAAATTTTTAGTTTTTTGTTATTACTAAGTAAGGGGCCGAATAAGTCGTGCGCCTTTTTTTTAGTTGCAGTGCCACTCAGAGCGTTAAATCACAAAGATCTGAGGGGCACTGCCACTGCGCCCGACAACCTGAGACATGAGTTGACAAGTTCCATACGCCCGTAATTCCACCAGCATCCGTACACTTCAAAACCGGAACGCAGTTAATGCTCACACTACTGGTTGGCGGAATAAATTGGTAATGTGGCAGTACTTCCCTGGAACTCTTTCTCAAGAAACTCTACTGCCAACTTGCCAAATTAGTTTTAAAAATAAAAGGGAAATAATAATTTTATACATTTGAGTACGGATTGTTTTGTACAGAACTAGCTCCCAATAAGTTTGTCTCATTTTGATTTAAACTTGGGTCTTTTTAAGGCGAGAGTGAATAAGCATTATTTAAGTGAGCATGCTCCATTATCGACCTTATCGTCACTTTCTATCAGGTGAAATGGAGGTCAAATGCGCATTTATTTTTTTAATAAATAAAATGTTGAATTTATAATACCCTACTTATACTACCCTACCTACACTGTAGCTAAATACTGTAGTGAAATGATCAACTGTAAATCCCTGAACCAATATCAAACGGCCAATATGCGATCTATGCAGTGATTCATTTTCTATTCCATTTATGGCAGTCTTTTATTTTCGCTTTTTATTGTATCTATTTCCACTACACGTATCATTTCCTCACATTGACCTTTTAAAGAGAGAGTGAATGAAATAATAGAATAGAATTAATTTATTACAATGCCAGAACACAAAAACAAATTTACAGAAAGAAATAAAAAAGACAAAGCAAAAGTAAAACAAAAAATAACATAACAAAAAAACAATGATGCAAACATAATCCAATTTTAAACAGTCAACTCAATTTGAATAAATGTCATGTGTGCGGCTGTGGCTTATGTAAAAGAATCCACTCAGCTAATGTCACATGTGAGTAAAGACTATGACGCTGGACCCTAAAACCGAGTGAGTACCGGATAAAGCAACGATACATTACGTATGGTGAAATTACATACACATGGGAGTTGTCAACTTATGTCAAAGGGTGGCGGGTGGAGTGTCAGTGCCCTTTACATCTTTGCGATTTAAAGCTCTGAGTGGCACTGCAACTGTTATGAACAAAAGTTTATGCTTATTTTTAAAATAAATTTCTTCCTGCATATCTAAATACAACAAATGTGCACAACAAAACAAAAAAATGTAATACAAAAACAATATAAATAATAATAATATTATAATTATATAATGTTTATAACTAAATATTATAATATAATACCTAAGATATGGATGGAATGGTAGATAAATAATGCTCTCTAACTCTCGTTTTAAAAAATAGCTAATGATTTACATTCGTGAACAATAATAGGAAGAGCGTTTCAAAACCTGGCGGCATGAACAGTGAAGGAGTGAGAATAGAAACCGGAATTCAAGCATGGAAAAGATAACTGGGACTTAACAAGAGAGCGACAGGGCTTATCCTTCTTGATAGTCTTGAAATCTAATAGCCAGTTTACTTTGCTTGCGCCGAGAGCAACACAGGCTCTTTGGGGGCGCGTCGCGAGCGGTGCTCGGCGCCCCCTAATTCCCTGCGTCCGATTTAAATTAGAAGACGCAAAAGCGGAACAATCAAGGCATACCTATAATTTTCAATAAAGACACTGCATAGCTATATATTAATAACATTTACCTCGATATTTTAGTAGCAGTAGGGCATTTTGAGATATAGTTCGGTCCAGGGAAGTACTGCCACCTTACCTATTTCTGCCGCCAAGCTGTAAAGTGAGCATTATTGCATTCCGATTTGGAAGGGTAAGGGTTCTGGTGAAATTACAGGCACATAGGATTGTCAACTTATGTCTGAGGGCGATGGGTGCAGTGGCAGTGCCCCTAAGATCCTTGCGATTTAAAGATTTGAGTGGCACTGCAACTGTTATGAATAGGCGTGTCGCTTACCACCAGGTGTACGACTTGTTCGTCCGGTCACTTGGTATTATAAAAAAATACTTTAGAAGGAAAAATACAGGAAAACAATGACATTGTTTGAATGAAGCAATAGGGTAAACAAAAGACGATAGTTAGTAGTTACGGAAGTGTTCTTTGAAATGTCATTTGAAGGATCGAGAAAAGCGGATCGCTGAATAGTTTCGGGGAGGAATATTGGCATAGACATTAACCCATATACGTCCACCAAGCCGGCTCAATATCTGTTGTGGAGTTCACACGTTTTTGCACAGTTTACCATGATGTTTTAAACCAGTGTAATGACATAGTATTATATTCCTTCAACGTACTTAACAAGATGAAAGATTTTTTATTTGTGTTCGATCTTTGTAGTATGCGACACACCTGTCCATAGCAGTTGTAAAAATCTGCGAGACATAAGTTGAAAAGTCAATGTGCCTTCCATCAGCATCCTTACCTTTCAAAACCGGAATGCATTATTGCTAACATTACTGCTTGGCAGCAGAAATAAATGGTTGTACTTCTCTGAACAAACTCTTTCACAAGAAACATATGAGAATCACGTTGGTAAAACAATAAAAAAAATCTTGATTGATGAATTTTTTAACGCACGCACATATGGCTCCGCACTGGGAAAACCTGTATCGCGGGTGCCATGGACACAACATAAACAATTGTAAACTGCCTCCGTGGTCGGACGGTCTTGTCAGTCTCATTATGCATGTCCGTTTTTGTTCTTCGTACTTTTAACACATCCCCAATCTGATCGAGATATGTAAGCCAAGGTTTACCTCTTCCCACGCCTCCATCCACAT